TTAAGCATGTTAATATTATTGTGGGGCACAATATAATGTCAAGGTTTTGGATTTGTGTTTTGGTCTTGGTGTATCTTCTCCTTTCAGACATATTACATAAGTAAAAGTGTCCAATTGCTATTCTGTATGATTCAAGTTCACAGTTCCACTTTGGATGCCGGTTGTCTGACACAATGTGGCTTAGAAATATTGACTACCTGTTCATAAGTCTGTATCATCAAAGGTGTGTAGGTAGGGACCCTTGTAGTGGAACAAAATAGGTAGGAGGTAGGAGCATGTGTTAGCACCAGCAACAACAGATAAACCTGCCGCCTGTGGGAGTCTACTGAAAGCCTCCATGAGTGTAAGTGGTACACTGCTGGGTTCATTGGTAGTGTGTCGTTCAGTTGGGACAGCAGATCTGGGATGTTCAGAAGCACTACCAGTGTCTCGACTAACATTTCCAATAGTAGTGGAAACCAGGCCTTGGTTGGCCACTTAGGCACCACCAGCATCAAGATGCAGGTGTGCTCCGGTTGAAAAGGCGTACATGTGGGTCCAAGGGAACAATAATGCGTCCATGGCCCATACTCCTGGAGTCGGCAAGAAAGTCATGTACTTCAGGAGATTGGCATTCCGGGGTGTGGCGAATAGGTCTATCTTGGGACTGTCCCACAGCCGAAACAGTCTGGAGGCTACCCATTGGGGTACCTGCCACTCCGTGTTCTAGAATTGGAGACGGCGCAAGCAGGCATTCGCTTGTCTGTTCCGTACCCCTGGAAGGTGGTGTGCAGTTAGCTCCACATTGTATTCCAGGCACCAATGTTGACAGTGATGAGGATTTGGTCCTCCCCCTCCTTGTTGATGTAGGAGACCATCGCTGTGTTGTCTGTGAAGAGCAAGATCAGGGGCCCGAACTATGGGTAGAAAATGCATCAGGTTTAAGTGCACTGTTTTCAGTTTGAGCCAATTGATATGGCGAACCTGAATCCAATGTAATTCGTTAATTAAGTGTACTCCCTAACCTGTGAGGGAGGCATCTTCGATCACAGTCATAGCTGTGGTGAGTGGGTTCAATGGGACCCACTGCTTGAGGTTGTTAATTGCCATCCACCAGGGCAAGGCATCCTTGCTTGGTCCGAGAGACCAGTGTTGCAACAAAGTGTGTTGCACCAGATGACTGTGCAGTGGAGAAACACAGAAGGGGCGCTGACTAGACGTGCGGCTAGACTGTTTATTGCTTGACAACGAGCCTGCAATGGATGCACGAAGCCTGACTCAGTGTAGAACTCCATGCCCAGAAACACCAACTGATGTGACAGATGTGGATGGGACTTTTTTTTAGATTTAATAGAAAGCCTAATTGGTGTAGTAAATCCTGTGTTAGCTTTACCTACTCAGCCAACAACCCCTCGTTTTAATTGTGTAGCAACCAGTCATCTAGGTACGAGTTGATGTGTACCGACAACAGAAGCACCACCTGGTGAACATGTATGGACTAATCAAAATGGTGCCCGGAGGGTAAAACAGTGTTTGGTACCTCCATGCGGAACCGATCGAGGAGCACATACTGATTTAGATTAGATCCAGAATTGGACGTCTGCAACCTGTAGTATTTGGAACTACAAGTGTGGGCGTGAGGTTTGGCCCAAGACTCCAGTACCCACCACTGCATCGATCAAATAGCGCTTGGTCCAGTGGAAAGCGTCTTAGGACTAAATTCTTCCATAGGGGACTAATGTCCGCCCATCAACACTGTCTGTGTGCCCTCTGCCACATTCAGCAATCTGTGGGACCAAGTGCAGTCTGTGTTGCATTGGATCCTGCCATCTGGGATTCAGAAAGCCACGACGCTACCAAGAGTAGCTGCTTTAGGGTAAGGGTATGAACATCAGGTCACTAGGACTGATAACTTCGCGCATCACCACTAAGCGTGGTTTACGGAGATATTTCAGATTAAAGCACACGCCCTCATGGCAAAACCCCAAACCCAGAATGCATTCTAAACAAAGGTGACATTTGCTATGGGGGTTCCAGCCCGGAAGAACCTGGTCGACTTTTTGGGTGACAACCTTAGAGGTGAACAGCTCTTCTTGGATTGCTTTCCTTTCTTCTTGTCCATTTTAACTATACTAAGAAATGAACAAGGCACGCATGAGTGGAACGAAATACAATTGAAACTGACACAATGAAGCCCTGCAAAAGTGGTCAAATGTGTCACGCAAGTTTTTTTGTGTGCATTACAAAAGAAGAACATGGCCGCTAATAAGAAAATGTTATCCTACCAGACACCGCATCTTACTTTTACTAACAGTCACAGGAGTACCTCAGAAAGTTTAGTTGCTTAGAAACTGCTGACTGAACCGCACTGTTTTTCTTTCATGCACACTCAGTGTGGACAGTGAGTGAACATAAGGCAAGATGACGCTGACCTTCATCACATGTTACGTGATGAGGGAGAAAAGTCATGGGGCTTCCCCTGGCCCAGATTTCTCTCTCCGTCATTAGCTGAATCGCAGATTAATGCCTGCAGCTCAAAATAGTCATTTTGACTGACTAGTCTATGGTGGGTAATTGAACATAGTGAAAATTACGGTATCAATTTCCTTATGTAATTAGATGCAAATTATCAAAAATTTTAAGCACTTTTATATTATACTAAGTATGCACATCCATCTATAAAACACAGCAGCAAATTGACAATGTCCATTTTGTATTGAATGTACTTTTGAACTATTTTGCAAAATATTTGATAGCATGAATATACAAGAATTGCATAACAAATTCAAATCTCAATTTTTAGCAGTCCCGATTGTTGACGATTGTTTTGGGGTTTCCCATAAGCTAAGTTTTAGAATACAGTGGCAACATTCACAGATTGGCTTCTGTTCGAAATTACTGCAGTACTTTGAACCAAGACCAAATTAAGGCTAATCATAAATACATTTAATTCCTGCAACACCATATTTTCGCTATATAGTAGCACTTGCGTAAATTACATGTCATATCCATGTTGAAAATTAGCAACATTTTATAGATTCAGTATATGCCAAATCCAATTTAGGGTTCATTTGTGCAATAGAGCAAATACAATAAATCTCCAAACTCTTTCATATTCAGTTATTCAAACATTTTACATTAATCCCAAGCCCCTAAACATGACCCTAATCACAACTCCTAATATGATCCCAGAGTCCAATATAATAAGACTGCGTAGCTGTCAGCTGTTTTTTATTTGATCCAAGTTTATTACAAATGTATCCACATACATTGTTTTGTGTTCAACCTGACTTAAATTAATGGGATAGTCAAAAACATTTGATTTTTTGGGTTTTTTTATTCACTCAATATAGCTATTTACAAAACAAGGATGAGAAAATAAAACAATACAGCAGGCTGTCTAGTTCTTCATTTCCTGATACTGCAAACAATCCATGTCACAAAGACGATCAGATATTAGTATATTTGGTCTACAGGCACCTGTAAAGAAACAAGAACAGGAAAATGAAACTACCTATTATACATTGAGCGCATATTGAATAAAATCTGTGTATGAGTGAAAGCAAAATTGAAAAGAAAAAGAAAATCTAGGATGGCAGAAAAACTGCGCACACGTTTTTCCCAATTTTTAGCTCCGCTGTTGACTGTCGATGTTTACTTTTTCGACTTTTTCTTGAAAACTACAAGCTGAATGCTTTGATACTTGGTGTAATATGTACCTTGGGTAGACCTCTCTCAGATTTGCTCATTTCATGATCATATCTTCAATTCTCTAATTTTGGTGAATATTTTTGTCATTTTTGGTAAAAAGTGATATTTTTGACTTCTTGTTAAAAACCGCAAGTCCAATTGCTTTGATATTACATATATAGGTACTACATGTGGAACTCTCTCAGATTTGTTCATTTTGTAATGATATCTTTAATTCTCTAATTTTGGTGAATATTTTTGTCATTTTTGGTAAAAAGTGATATTTTCAACTTTTTGTTAAAAACCGCAAGTCCAATTACTTTGATATTACATATATAGGTACTACATGTGGACCTCTCTCAAATTTGTTCATTTCATGATGATATCTTAAATTCTCTAATTTTGATGAATATTTTTATCATTTTTGGTAAAAAGTGATATTTTCGACTTCTTGTTAAAAACCACAATCATTTATGATGAAAAAGGATATTTTTGAATTCTTGTTGAAAACAGCAAGTCCCATTGCTTTGATACTATACATATTGTTCATTTTCTAATGATATCTTCTGTTCTTTAATTGAAATGTCCATTGCTAACAGCGGAGCTATCTCAGCCGAGAGGCTGCTTGTTTTGTTTTTCATGATGCAATTAAATTTTCTAGCCCGATAAAGCTATTTTCAGAGCGGACGTTTTGCTCATCTGGCAACCATCATAGAAAACAGTACTTGGGCTAGTTGTTGACACTCTACTGAACAGTGTAATAAATTTGGTTGCTCTGGATTACTTAAAAGAATAGTTTGTGCTGTTTTCTTGATTTTAGCTGCCTTCAACAGCTTTTTGGCTGGCATTTCACAGCAGCTCGTGCATAGCCCATAGAAATACATCATACATGCCCAAGCAACATAGAACATTCTGTGACTTAGCTCCACTCCCAAGAATTGAAATGATCAAAAGTAGAACTTTTAAAAGGACATTACCTAAAAGATCGCTACAAAAAAATCATTCTTCATCATCTGGTGGAATTCCTAATTCTTCATCTGTCCATTTGGAGATATCAGGATAGCCATGACCCTGCAAATTGTAAGTCAAAATGACAAATACTACACAAGATAGGTGGCTACATATGTACATACATCATATACAAGTAGGTTTCTATTTTTATTTTACACTAGGAAAGTTGTACCTCCCTGTTGCATTTCCCCTGGCAGACAAATACCTCCCTCTCATGGCCAAAGTCCCCTGGCAAACAAATACCTCTCTCTCATTGCCAAAGTCCCCTGGCAGACAAATACCTCCCTCTCATGGCCAAAGTCCCCTGGCAGACAAATACCTCCCTCTCATGGCCAAAGTCCCCTGGCAGACAAATACCTCTCTCTCATTGCCAAAGTCCCCTGGCAGACAAATACCTCTCTCTCATGGCCAAAGTCCCCTGGCAGACAAATACCTCTCTCTCATTGCCAAAGTCCCCTGGCAGACAAATACCTCTCTCTCATTGCCAAAGTCCCCTGGCAGACAAATACCTCCCTCTCATGGCCAAAGTCCCCTGGCAGACAAATACCCCTCTCTCATTGCCAAAGTCCCCTGGCAGACAAATACCTCCCTCTCATGGCCAAAGTCCCCTGGCAGACAAATACCTCTCTCTCATGGCCAAAGTCCCCTGGCAGACAAATACCTCCCTCATGGCCAAAGTCCCCTGGCAGACAAATACCTCTCTCTCATGGCCAAAGCCCCTAGCAGACAAACATCTTCCAGCTGAAAGTCCCAAGCAGACAAATGTGTCCCTGCCTCAAGTCCCACTGCCGGACAAATATATAAATACTTCCCAGCCCCAAGTCTTCAACAGACAAATACCTCCCTGTCCTTGTTGGATGTGTGTTCACTAACTTGTAGTGCCACACACACACACACACACACCTTTTCTCTAGATTCAAGAGATTAATCATTATTATATGCAAATTAAGCTACAACAGTTG